AAAAAATTTCTGCTCCAATTTTTTTGACGAAAACGAACGACTTGAAATTGAATCTTTTTTGAATTTTCTGGTCACACTTTGACGAGGGTCTGTTTCTTTTTTTTTCTTTTTCAACAAACTTTAACCTAACTTTTCAAATCTAACCTCAAATTTTTAAGAGATTAACAGCCTTTCCCGAATTGTAAGATTTTTGAATTGAAGGATTTTTTATTACAATAATTTCGTACGTATAATACTTCACTCTCGAATAGGAAAGAAATAGAAGAAATAGAAAATATATGTTTAATACGTGATTATTAAAATTCCAAAAATTCGTCAATAGATGGCGTATGTATCCAGCGCTCTTATAAACAAAATTTCATGCCAGACGCCACTTCAACAGAATGATTTATATATCCAATGCCGTTTCATTTTATTTGAAGTGACACTACTGTGTAAATAAATTAAATTACTGATAGTGAATAATACAAAAAATTTTAAAATTCCGAATCGAAGAAACCGATCGTTCCTTATTTTTACACTCCGGGTCCAGCCTTGAAACGCGACTATCGCGCGTCGATGTATCCCCTTTATATACGTACGACCTGTCAAAAATGTTTTTCGCCAAAGTTTCCGGTCTGGCGCGGCACAGAGAAGCTTTTTTTCACCCGTGGAGAAAAGAGCCAGCCTTTAACAGAGAAGGTTTCACACTTGGTCTCTGGAAAGTGTCTTGGGTCTTAACGTGTTATACCTCGGAGGAACGTTTTATCCATTTTCCGGGACACAGGTTCAGCTCGATTTTCACCACGAAATTTTTACCTCGTGCACACACGTCAAACTCGTCTTCTCCCGCTGTCATTCATCTTTAATCTCGCGACTTTTTTTCTTTTCTTTTTTTTTTTTTTTTTTGAACGATCGTTTTTTGAACCGTGTTACCGGTAACGATGATGCACGCAACGGAGAAAAATCGATTGGCGACATTATAAATAGCAGCCACTGTACGAATAGATACACACACGCACGTACGGTGGAGTTGACGAAAAGTGAAACCGATGGAATTGAGTTGACTTTCGAGAGTCAGCTCGTGAAAACTCGTCTTCCCGGCGTTCGACCGTTCGCCGTACACGCTGGCCTATATACGAGTATCACATTTTCCGATAATAGAGCGCAGGGAGAGAGGGGACGACCCGATGTTAGCAAGATTGAGCAATTATCGAAGTTTCACCTCGAATAAGTTTCATGCCATCAACCCTATCTCTTGAACACTCGGTGTTTATTTATCGATAACCCGGCCAGTTCGCGTGGTTCGACGAACGGGACTCTGTTATTCCTATTATCTTCTCTATTATTAGCTTCGTCGAAATTCCTCGATCCGACGTGTTGGCCGTTCGAACGAATCTCGATCGAAAATGAAAGAAGAGGAGGGCGGGAAAGGAACGAGAGGCCCCCGAAGACGAGTTGCCTATCTCGCATGATCGTTAAAATTTCTAGCAAATAAAAGCTAACTACTTAATTGCGAGAGAAAATGGGAAAGGAAAGAGAGA